TGGTCTTCAAATGCTGATATCCTTTCTTCTACTTGGTTGGTTTGGCGACTGATACTTGTGTATGCTTCATGAAATTCTCATGCTGTATTTTTCAGCTCCATTAGATCATTTATGTTCCCTTCTAAACTGTTTATTGTAGTTGGCAGCTCCTCTAACCTTTTATCAAGGTTCTTAGCTTTTTTGCATCGGATTAGAACATGCTCCTTTACTTCAGCATAGTTTTTTTATTACCCATCTTCTGAAGCCTACTTCTGTCAATTCTTCTCCATCCAGTTCTGTGTCCTTGACAGAGAGTTGTTGCAATCATTTCGTGAAGTGGCACTCTGGCTTTTTGGGTTTTCAGCATTTTTTTGTTGTTGTTGATTCTTTCTCATCTCTGTTTGTCTAGTTTTGATCTTTAAGGATGCTGTCCCTTAAATGAAATTTTGTGGAGGTTTGTTGTTGTTGATGCTGCTGTTGTTGGTTTTTGTTTGTTTTTCTTTCAATGGTCAGATCCTACTTTTATAGGGCTGCTGCAGTTTCAAGCCCTATTCATCTGATTCACTCTCACACCTGGAGATGTTACTCAGGGAGGCTGGAGTACAGAAAAGATGGGTGCCTGCTCCTTCTACTGGGCTCGGGGGGCACCATTCTGATGCCAGTAAGATTGTTCCTATATAGGGTGTCTAACAGCCCTGTTGGAGGGTTTTACCCAGTTGAATGGCACATGGAACAGGACCTGTTTAACAAAACACTTTGTCCCTTGGTGGAAGGAATGTGCTTTGCTGAGGGGAAACTCACTTGTCTGGGCTGCCTGGATTCCTCAGAACTACCAGGAGGAAAGGCTAAGTCTGCTGGTCTGCAGATACTGCTGTCACCCCTCTCCATAGAGGCTCAGGCCCGGGGAGATTCAGGTTCTGTCCGTGAACCTCTGGCTGGAGTTGCTGGAGTTCCTGCAGGGAAGCCCAACCCAATGAGGAAAGATAGGTCAAGGTCAGGCCTGAAGAGGCACTCTGGCTGAAGTCTGCCACAGCCAGTGTGTTGGGCTGTCGGGGCACATCTTGGGACCAAGCCATGCAGTGGACCTGACTCCAGAAGGGGAAAAACGCAGCCTTGAGCTATAGAGGTGGATGCTGCCTTCCCTCACCCAGGGAGCTTAGCATGTTAGGCAGCTGTGAGTCCCGGTGCTGGCTGCTGCCCCTCCACCAAGAAGCTCAGGTGGCTTAGATGGCAGGCAGCTGCAGCTGTGGTTCTGTTGCCCCTCCCTGCAGGTGCTCCATAGGCTTAAGCAGATTCCAGCTGAGAGGCTGCACTAATGTATGGAAATCAATAAATGCAATTTATTTATTTATTAAAATGCCCCAGGGGCATGAGTTTAAAAGTGGGATTTTCCAATCCATGGTTGCGCAGTTCTGTGGAAAAAGCATGGTTTTCCGGGCTGGGTAGCATGCTTAGTCACCACCTCCTTGGGTTGGTGGGAGGGGGATCTCCTGCCCCGTGTAGCTCTCAGGTGGGCTGCCACACCACACTGTTACTACTTCTTCTCTGTGGATCATGCCAGCCTCCTAGTCAATTCTGATGGGAGAACCTGGATAACTTGGTTGTCGGTGAAGGATTCACACACTTATTATGGTTCTTTTTGATGGGAATCTCTGAACACTGCTGTTTCTAGTCAGCCATCTTTGCCCTGCCCCTGTGTATCTGTTTTGGTGCCAGTACCATGCTGTTTTGATGACTGTAGGCTTATAATATAGTTTGAAATTGGGTAATGTGAAGCTTTTGGCTTTGTTCTTTTTGTTTAGAATTGCTCTGGCTATTTGAACTCTTACTTAGTTCCATATGAATTTTAGAATAGTTGTTTTCTAATACTGTGAAAAATGACATTGGTAGTTTGATAGGAATAGTATTGAATCTCTAGATTGCTTTGGGCCATATGACTGTTTTAATGATGTTGATTCTTCTATGAGTATGGATTGCTTTTCCAGTTGTTTGTGTTGTCTGTAATTTTTTGCAACAGTGTTTTATACTTCTTCTTGTAGAGATCTTTAATTTCATTGGTTAGATCTATTCCTAGGTATTTGGTTTTTTCTTTGTGTGCATGGGTATTATAAATGGAAGTATGTTCTTGATTTGGCTCTCAGCTTGAATGTTATTGGTATTTAGAAATGCTACAGATTTTTGTACTTTGATTTTGTACCTTGAAACTTTATTGGAGTTCCTTATCAGTTTTAGGAGCCCTTTTGGCACAGTCTTTCCAAGTGTAGAATCATATCAATAGAGATGATATTACTTTCTTTTTTTCCTCTTTGGATGCCCTTTATTTCATTCTCTTGGCTGATTTGTCTGGCTAGTACTTCAATTACTATATTGAATAGAAGTGGTAAGAGTGGGCGTTCTTGTCTTGTTCTTATTTTTAAGGGGAATGCCTCTAGCTTTTGCCTGGTCAGTATGTTAACTGTGGGTTTTTCATAGATAACTCTGATTATTTCAATACTATTTCTATCAAACTAAGAATGTCACTTTCACAGAATTAGAAAAAAAAATGGAACTAAGTAAGAGCCCAAATAGCCAAAGATAGCTCTCATTATTTTGAGGTCTTCAGTGGTTAGTTCACTGAGGGTTTTTAAAAGATCATAAAGGGATGTTAAGTTTTATCAAAAGCTTATCTCATATCTATTAAAATGGTGATTTATATTTATTTTTATTTTTGGAGATACAGAATCCTGCTCTATTCCCCAGGCTGGAGTGCTCACTGCAACCTCCACCTCCTGGGTTCAAGAGATTCTCATGCCTCAGCCTCTTGAGTACCTGTGACTACAGGCATGTGCCACCAACACCAAGTTAATTTTTGTATTTTTAGTAGAGACAGGGTTTCACCATGTTGGCCAAGCTGGTCTCAAAATCCTGGCCTCAGGTGATCTGCCAACCGTGGCCTTCCAAAGTGCTGAGATTACAGGTGTGAGACACTGTGCTCAGCTTTTAAAATATTAATTCTATGTGGTGAATTGTATTTATTGATTTCCATACATTAGTGCAACCTTACTTTCCAGGAATAAAGCCTACTTGATTGTGGTAAATTAACTTCGGGTGTGCTGCTGGATTTTGTTTTCTGTTATTTTGTTGAGGATTTTTGTGTCCATGTTCATCAGAGATATTGTCCTGTAGTTTTCTTTGTTCATTGTGTCTTTGCCAGATTTTGGTAACAGAATGATGTTGGCCTCATAGAAAGAGAGGAGAGGATTCCCTTTTCCTTATTTTTTGGAATTGTTTCAGTAGAATTGATACCAGCTCTTCTTTATACTTCTGGTATAATTCAACTGTGAATCCATCTTGTCCAGGGCTTTTTTATGGTTGGTAGGTTTACTGATTCAATATCAGAACTTGATACTGGTTTGTTCAGGGTTTCCCTTTCTTCCTTATTCAATCTTTGGAGATAGTGTGTTTCTAGGAATTTATCCATTTCCTCTAGATTTTTTACATTATGTGCATATGAAAGATGTGTGTGTTTTGTGGTTGGTGGGTGGTGGAGTTCCGTAGATGGCTGTTAGGTCTAATTGGTCTGTTCTGTAGATGCCTATTAGGTCTAGTTGGCCATGTGGAATTGATGTCCAAAATTTCTTTGTTAATTTTCAACCTCAATGATGTAATGATGTCCATGGGGTGTTGAAGTACCCCACTGTTACTATGTTGCTAATTTTCTTCTCAGGTCTAGAAGTACTTGTTTTATGAATCTTGGTGCTCCAAAGTTTGGTGGGTAGGTGTTTAGCATATTTAAGTATTCTTGTTAAATTGAACCCTTTATCAGTATGTAGTATATCCTTGTCATTTTGTATGGTTTTTGTCTTAATGTCCTCATTTTTTAAACAAGAGAGAATGCCAGGTGCAGTTGCTGATGTTATTCCAGCACAATGAGAGTCTGAAGCTGTAGGATTCCTTGAGATCAGGAATCCTTGACAAGCCTAGGTGACTTAGCAAGATCCTGTCTGTAAAATAGTTTTAAAAGTTATTCTGATGTGATGGTGCCCTCCTGTAGTCATAGCCACTTGGGGAAGTGAGGTGGGATGATTTCTTTAGGCCAGGAATTCAAGGTTCCAGTAAGCTATGATTGCATTCTGGCCTGGTGACAGTGCAAGACCTTGTCTGTAAGACAAAGATATTTTGAATTATTTTGTAATTAGTTAATAGATTTCTATTTCTCTAGCTTCACTTGGATATTAATATGTTAGTTAATAGATTTCTACTTCTTTAGATTTACTTTCATTTTGGTCCTTTGATTGGGCCTTGTTTTTGGTTACTTTGATGCCTTGTGATTTTGTTGGCATTTTGATCAATTACTAGACAGCCACCTATTCCATCTTTTATGGAATGAATTTGTATGTTGGAAAACTGATACCCATTAGGCATTCTAGTCATTCTGGGAGATTCTTTGAACTGTTGTCAGGATGTATCTTTTCTGGACTGCGTGTGTGTATTTGCCTATTAAAAAGATTTGCATTTTTCTCTTAAGAGCCTTTAATCTCTCCCTTAGGTGAGTGTCTCTCTGTTGTTGTAACAAGCATTCATCTTTGTTCTCTGTTGACCTGACATGTCATTTCAACTTTATCACCATTTTCTTCAGCATCACACATTAAAGAAAGCAATGACCAGTGTTTAGATAGCCCCAGAACAACCCAGAACTTTGGACATATGTTTCACTTCTTTTTCTTTTTGAGGTAAAAACAGAATGGGAAAAGTTTTTTGTGTAACTGCATTGTGCTATGGTGCACAAATACAACAAACTTTCTTTGTTCTTAGTGCAACCATTCTTAGCTTTGAGTTCACCTAGGTGCTGTAAACTCAACTGGCTTTAGTTACTCTATTGTATTTAAGTTAACATATCAATTGAGAAAACAAAGGACCTCAAGTTTTTGATTCAACTATCATGGTGTTCTCAACTTGGTATAATTTCGTATATTAGATTTATAAAGGATTTTCGCCTAAACTTAGTTTTTGAAATTTTCAGAACCTTTGGTATCTTTCAGATGTGTTTTCTCATGATACTCAAGCCTTCTTGAGAAAGAAGCACATAGAAGCATCATTCCAAAAAGTGATGTTAGATGGATATGAGAGCTGTGGCCTTCAGAATTTACACTTAAGGAAAGAGTGTGAAAGTGATGGTAAGTGTGAAGGTCACAATGGCTGTTATAATGAACATACAAAATGTAGGACAACTACCTATAACAAAAACATCAGTGTACAAGAGGTGAAAAACATGAAAAAACTCAATCTATGTCAGTTGCTTTTTCTAAACCATGTGTTTCTGTAACTAAATGTCAACATCAATTTTTGAAACATACCTTTTCTTTGAAAGGAAATTTGGAAAATCCGAATAGTGGCTTAGTTCATGTTTCAAATAATCATATGAATCAATGAAAATATAGAACCGGAGTAAATTTTCAGTCAAATATTTTTGAAAAGGAGAGATTTAAAAATGAAGAGGTGATTTCTAAATATGATCAATTTGATTGGTCCTTTGTTAAAAGTTTGTTTCACCAACAAATAATACCTTGTTCTGCCTGTGATCAATATAGAAAGGTCTTCATTCATTCATTATTGCTTAATCAATGTCAGGGAATAGATAATTTGGGAAAACATCACACATATAATAAAACTTTGACAGCCTTTAAACAGGACTCTACCATGAATAGTTACCATAATATTTGTATTGCAGAGAATAATCAGTACAATAAATCTGATACAACAGTAGGCCGAGGCATAAGCCCTAGAAGACATCAGAAAACTCATTTCCTACAGAACCATTACAAATGTGAAAAATGTGGGAAAGTCTTTCATGAAGGTACTAACCATATCCATCAGAGTATCCATGTTCAGGAGAAGTCTGCCAAATGTCATAAGTGTGTAGAAACTTTTATCCAGTCATCAAAACATACTCAGCCTCAGCGAATCCACATTGGAGAAAAGTCACACAAATATAATAATGGTGAGAAAATCCTTAGTAAATTTTCAAGTCTAAGAAAACATAAGATAATCCATGATGAAGAGAAACCTTACAGATGTAAAGAATGTAGCAAAGCCTTTAACCATAGTTCACACCTTACTCAGCATCAAAGAATTCATACTGGAGAGAAACCCTACAAATGTAAAGAATGTGGCAAAGCTTTCAGTTCTAGTTCATATTTTACGAGACATCAGCGAATTCACACTGGAGAAAAACTCTACAAATGTAAAGCATGTAGCAAATGTTTTACTCATTCTTCAAATCTTCTTGTGCATCAGAGAATTCATACTGGAGAGAAACCTTACAAATGTAAAGAATGTGGTAAATCATTTAAAGAGTCTTCAGCCCTTGCTCAACACAAGAGAATTCATACTGGAGAGAAACCCTATAAATGTAAAGAATGCAGCAAAGCCTTTAACTGTAGGTCTTATCTAACTAAACATCAGAGAATTCATACAGGAGAAAAACGTTACAAATGTAAATCATGTAGCAAATCTTTTTCCCGTTCCTCAAGTCTTGTTGTCCACCAGAGAATTCATACTGGAGAAAAACCATATAAATGCAAGGAATGTGGCAAAGCCTTTAATTGCAGTTCACGCCTTACTCAACATCAAAGAATTCACACTGGAGAGAAACCCTACATATGTAAAGAATGTGGTAAAGCCTTTAACTGTAGTTCATCACTTACTAAACATCAGAGAATTCATACTGGAGTGAAACTTTACAAATGTAAAGCATGTGGCAAATCTTTTTCTCGTTCCTCACGTCTTATTGCGCATCAGATAATTCATACTGGAATGAAACCATATATATGTAAGGATTGTGGCATCTCCTTTAACCGGTCTTCAAACCTTAGACGACATCACATGATTCATACTGGAGAGAAACCTTACAAATGTAAAAAATGTGGCAAATTATTTAATCGATGCTCAACTCTTATTCGACATAAGAGAATTCATACTAGAGAATCTCTGTAGTTGTAATAAATGCGGAAAGAGTTTTATCTAAAATTGAGAACTTAAGAATCACCATAGATTTTATAGAAAAACAGACTTACAGATTAAATTATTATGCAGTCAGCACATTATTTGTATTGAAAACATTTAAGATTTGTGTAAAGCAAATAATAATTCAGTTCTCAAATTAGTTGTTATACCTTAATGTCTAGTGTTTATATAAAAACATATACTCTATTTTTTCTGCATCAGAGCTATGAGAGGTCCTTCTATGGTAGATGAACATCATTGACATCAGTTTATTTTCATGGAAGTTTAATGGCAAATGTAAAATGCGTGAAGAAAATCTAAAGGAAGATGCTCTTTGTGTTTGAATTATAAAAATAATAATGTGTGTAAGCATAAGTACGTATTTAGGGCATTATTAAGTGGAATATCCTGAAATTATTTATTACATCAGTTGTTCCTTAAGTAGAAAAAACTGATCAGTTATTTAAAATACTGACATACCTCTGTCGTACAATATAGTAGTAATTTTGAATATTATTTGACATGTTAAAAATAAAAATGTCTTCACAGATATCAGAGAAAAGTGAAAACTCATATCTGAAAGATCATAAATATACTTAATATAAATTTTTCAGAGGACTTAAATTTCCAATAATATTGATAATATTCGCATAGTAACTATATTGTATTCTTTCTGTTACTGTATTATATTCCTGCTTTTTGTAGCTACTGGTATACTGTGACAGTTATAATAAAGATTATATGGGAGTATACTTAAAATCCCTACTTTTAAAATCCTGAATCACTGTATGAAATTTTATTAAATATTTTTCTTTGCACATACCCTTTTTCAGTTCCATTGAATGTGTAGAGATTTTTATTGACCTTAACTTGCATTGAATGGAATATACAGATGTATCAAGATAGAAAAAGATGTTACACAGGCAGAAATGCATATGTGTGTACCTGTCTTCAAAATGGAAAAGAAAATCACGTATCACAACAGGAAATTTGAGAACTGTTGATTTACTACCAAACTAGAAACCTCACAGATTCTCAAAGCAAAGTTAGTTTCTCTGTTGTACACTGAATTTTTCCCTCATAAATCTAATGTCTTCTGGGTTCAGACCATCCCATACAAATCCTTTTTTTTTTTTACCTATGATTTATGTAAGAATAATTATATGATTTTCTTATAATTGTTGGCCAGGTACAGTGGCTCATGCCAGTAATGTCAGCATTTTGGGAGGCTGAGTGGGTAGATTACCTGAGGTCAGGAGTCTGAGACCAGCCTAGCCAACATGGTGAAACCTCATCTCTCTACTAAAAGTTCAAAAAGTAGCTGGGCCTGGTGGTGCACATCTGTAATCCCAGCTACTAAGGAGGCTGATGGAGGAGAATTGATTGAATTTGGGAGGCAGAAGTTGCAGTGAGCCAGGATCATGCCACTGCACTCCAGTCTGAGTGATAGAGTGAGACGCCATCTCAAAACAAAAACAAAAACAAAATTAATGGTGCTTAGATATTAATCTGAAGACATAAGTAACTCTACATTGATCTATTTAGTTACAATACAAAATTCTTACCATTTAGTTGCAGTAAAAGTAGTGTGAAAGATGAATAAAAAATCTTGAAAACAGCCAGGACAAAGCAACAAATTACATAAATGGAGAAATAATATAAGTGCAGTTTTAATATGTCATAAAAAGTAATAGTTGTAAATGACGATGGAATTACATTTTTTAAGCTCAGATAGGAAAATCTAGTATTAATACAAGAGTCTGTATTCAGCAGAATTCTTTAAAAAATGAAATCAAGCCACAGTGAGATATCACACACTTGTGAAAATGGGAAAAAAATTAAAATAATGTGAATACCAAGTGCTCATTAGGATTTGGAGCAACTCAAATTAGGAATACAAGATGACATAGTAACTTTGGTAAATGGTTTAACCATTTTTTAATAAAGTTAGTCATAAACTTATTATCTGAACCAGATGTCCCAGCCCTAGGCATTTATTATACAAAACTGAAAACTAGTGATTAACACCTGTTTGTGGATATTTGTTGCCACTATATTCATATTTGCCAAATGCTGGAAATAAATCTTATGTCCCTCAGTAGGTGAATGGATAATAAACAGTGATATGTCTATATAAAAGAATTGTGTTGTTAATAAAAAGGAACAAACTATTGATCTCCACTACTACATGTATGAATCTGAAATACATTTCTCTAAATTAAGACTATTGATTAACAAGGCTATATATTATATGACATTGCATAAAAGATTAGAGGGATGGGAAATTATTATTGGTTGCCAAAGAATGGGAGAAAAATAGGCATTGATTACAAAGGGGCAACGACAAGAAGAAATTTGGAGGATGATTAAACAGTTTAGTGTGGTACTGTGGAAGTAGGTATGTGATTACACAATTGTCAAAACCCAGTGAACTGTATACCACAAAGAGTAAATTTTACTTACTGTAAATTAAAAAAAATTAACCAGGACGCTTACAAATGCTAACACATGAATCTCATTGTATTACAAATTATCTGTCATCTGGCCAGGCATGGTGGCTCACACCTGTAATCCCAGCACTTTGGAAAGCTGAGGTGGGAGGATTGTTTGAGGTCAGGAGTTTGAGACCAGCCTGGCCAACATGGTGACACATTGTCTCTACTGAAAATACAAAAATTAGCTGGGTGTAGTGGTGCACACCTGTAACCCCAGCTACTCAGGAGGCTAAAGCAGGAGAATTGCTTGAACCCAGGAGATGAAGGTTGCAGTGAGCCAAGTTTGTACCACTGTGCTCCAGCCTGGGCGACAGAATGAGACTTTGTCTAAAAACAAACAGACAAGTTATCTGTCATCTACCTATAGACATAACCCTTCTGAAGAGGATGGGGATAAAAGTTCCAGATCTAAGTCACTTTGAAAACTATTTTTATTTAATGCTGTAAGACTACACAAACATTGTATTATACTGAGTAATATTTTATTTACCCACAAGGATATGAATTAGCTATTTTGAAACTGTTTTACATGATTATATAATATATGGAGGCTGTTTTTGGTGTAGTTCACAAAAGTTAAAGGGTGAATGCTAGAATGAATCTTGTGATCCTAGCCTAAAGTTGGAAGCATCAGAATGAACCCATGTCTAATATATCTGAATGGATGGATTGATGGATGGATGGTTGGGTGGGTGGGTGGGTGGGTAGGTAGGTAGGTAGATAAATAGAAAGATAGATGATAGATAGATAGATAGATAGATAGATAGATAGATAGATAGATAGATGAACCCATGTCTAACATATCTGGATGCATGGATGGATGGATGGATAGATAGATACATAGATGATAGATAGATAGAATATTCAGAGATAGATAAGAGTTCTAAACTCAAGTGCCAAGAAGCAGTGACATCTAGTATCAATGAATGTACTAGGTCTACTATCTCAGTTTCTAAACACCATTCATTAAAAGGAACCAAGGCTACATGTAAAAATGGATAATTGTAGGGCTGACATTGGAAAATACAAGTTGAGCTAGAGTATCTTTTAAAGCCACAAAGAAAAAGTGCTAAATAAAATTGATGGGACTTGTCAAAGGGAGTCAACCTGAAAGACCTCCCAGTGGTCCAAACTGTAACAATATGGGCAATAAATAATGATAGCTTTGGATTATGGCCCAGAGAATAAAGTAATATTCACACATCTCTACTGACATAAAAGAGATTAAATACATAAGGAAAGGAGGAAGAAAATCTTACAGTATTCAAACTACAAATCAATGTAGTCGCATAATGCAAAATAAATCAACACTAGAACATCACAGTAATAATTACTGTAGGCAAGATTCCCTGAGGAATTCAAACATTTCAGGAAAAACTTAAACACTAAAGAGTGTTTTGGGCCAGTTGTGATGGGGCATGCCTGTAATCCCAGCACTTTGGGAGGCTGAGGCAGGTGAGTCACCTGAGGTCGGGAGTTTGAGACCAGCCTGGCCAACATGGTGAAACCCCATCTCTACTAAAAATACAAAAATTAGCTAGGTATGGCAGCAGGTGCCTGTAATCCCAGCTAGTTGGGAGGCTGAGGCAGGAGAATCGCTTGAACCTGTGAGGTGAAGGTTGCCGTGAGCTGAGATCATGCCATTACACTCCAGCTCAGGTGACAAGAGCAGAACTCTGCATAAAAAAAAAAAAGAAAAGTGTATTTGTGTATTTTAAGTATCTACTGTCTAATATTAATACCTTTTTTCTTAATTTCTTAGACTTGTGACTATTTGAAACAAATTATTGTATTGTAGGATTTATAATTTGTAGTTGTAAAATTTGTAACACATGGAATAGGAAGATAAATGGAACTGTTCTGTAGCAAAGTTTTCATGTTGTATATTTAAGACAGTATAGTATTAACTCTAAAGGTAGATTTGGTTGGTAGGTTAAAGATTCATATTTTATTCCCTGCAGCAACCACTAAAAGATGCAAAGAAGTATAACATAAATGCTAAGAAAGGAATCAAATATAAAATATATATTTGCACAAGAATATATATCTTTTAGTTATAATAGCCCAAACAAGAAACAACCGAAATGTCCATCAGTAAGAAAATGAACTAATTGTATAGCATTTAGAACAAAATATAGCTCAGGAATACAAAAAAACAAGCACACATCCTGGATAAAATTCATAAAACTGCTCAATGAGAGAAAAGTTGGATGTAAAATTGTACTTTATACATTTGTATATTTTATTATTTCAGGCAAAATAATCCTATGATGAAAGAAATCAACACAGAGATAATCTCTGCTTGAGAAAAAAAATTACCTGGGACAAAAGACAAGTATATTTTCTGAGGACGATAAAAGTATTGCTTTGAAAAGGGGTGAAGTTTATATGGGTCTATTTGTCTAAAATTCCATTTAAGATTTATGCCTTGCAATGTATGTACATCTTCAGAAAAAGCAGGTGGGGGTAGGGAAAGGGTTGAAGTATAGATGAAGCAGAAGTGGTATATGTTTAGTAGCTGAAGTTGGGTGACAGATCTATATCCCATTTTATTTTTATGTGTTAATAGCATTTGTATAAATGTACAATATTCATTTGCAGTGTTTTCTCAGGATCTTGTTTACCTTTGGACAGGGAGGGAGAGAGAAAGTTATTTTCTGGGCAGGAGTAAAGCTGGTTCCACTCCTCAGTAATGTAAAGTCTCTGTTATAATCCATAAAGTTTCACATGCATGTTTCTGTATGCATGTTGTATAGCAATAAAAAAGTTAAATATCACATATTTGCACAATAATCCTAACTCACTATCTCAGAATATTGTCAGTGTTTTCTTTTGTCATGAAGTGGAACACAATCTCTTATGGCATTATCAGATGGGTTTGAATATTCTAAAGTATCTATTAATGTCCTGATCTTTTGGACACCTCTTGGGTCTTTCCATTTTTGCCTTAATTTGGTAAGTGGCATGGTTTTGATTTTTTGAGATGAAACTTTTCCCAGCAAAGTCTTTTCCCCACAGTGATGCTCTGAAGGCCAGGACACCTAGCACAGGACCCTGGGCACAGTCTGCACTCGGTACATGTGGAGCATGTTGATCAGCAACAAAAGGAGTAGCATCTTTCACAGTTCCTGTGAAAGATGAGTAGATTTAATACAGGTATGACTGAAAGGCTGCAACTCAGGGGTAAACATTTTATATTCATTCAAGAGACTATTTGCAACTAGTACACCAAAAACATTTGGCTTAAAGCAGTACTTTGGGGGC